GGAGGAAGGTGACAATTCCTGTTTATGCATTTTTGGCAAGCTGCACCTGAAGGATAGGATGATTTTCTGGAAACTGTCATGCCAGAAATACACAGCTAAACAGGGGAGAACTGAGAAGAGCAAAGTGAATAATTAGAGACCTGTGGGTGTGCACAGGGTCTCTGCTTTATTCTCTTAAGGAAACCAAGCTAAGCAGTTGCCCTGCTTTTCTGTCAGTATGCCACAATAACATTTGAATCTCTTGACCAATTTGAAAAAAGCCTGACAAAAAAGGAGAAGCTTAGAAACACTGAGCTCCTGTGAATTTTACAAAAATCAGCAGCTAGATAGAGGAGACTCAGATTTGTGTGCCCAGTAAAGAACAGGTGGATGTGTGAACTCAGCTGCATTATTTGACACAAGAGAATCCAAAGCTGTCATCAAAAAGCAGGCTCCATAAGGTTTGCTGTTAATGGAACTGCTTGTTTGTAATTTAGAGGCAGGGGCATTTTTTGCTTGTTTGTTTGGGTTTTTGTTTGGTTGTTTTAAATAACATATACTTAAAAGAAGCCCAAGACATCTGCCTGAGATGATTTTTAAAATGTTCATTGCTGCAGAATGTTGGCACTCATTATAAAATTATTTGTAATACCAGATCTTGTTGAGAACAGGCCCTGAAATTCCTACCTGAAATGAAATCCCTTTGGGCCAGTGTTTTCTCTCTGCCGTGGAAAGGATATTTCCATTTCTCCTCATGCTAAAGCTAGCTCTGACCCTTTTCTCTTTTTTAAAGTACTATGGTGCCACCAAACTTAAAGAAATGAAAAGTCAAGAGTCAAATGCCCAAAAAATGCCTACTTCTGAAAATTATGATATGTTGATAAAATATATTTTCCTTTGTTTTTGGTTAGTCTTTGAAATTTTTAAAATCCTTCAACTTCTTGAGAGAGAGAAGTCAGTGTTCTACTTTCATTAACGTATTGTTGGAAATTACTTTGAGCCCCTGGTGCTGCAGGATATTTCATCTTTCATGGCTGTCCCTTAAATGGCAAACCTACTGAGGCTGAAAACTCCTCCACAGCTTTTACATCCCCAGTCTTCCATCAGTCTGAGAAAGGGCACCACTCCTCTAGACAAGGAACCTACAGGAAAAACCCTCTGAATGGTTTGTTCTTTAGTTTGCCTCATGCAAGAAAACAATCATGATTGCTTACAGGTAGTGAAAAGGGAGTATTGATGGAACTGAGAAATTTAGAATGTGGCATTTGGTCAATACAAAAAGAATATACGGGGGAGAAGGAAGGTTCCTAAGACTGAGGAGAAGTCTAGAATCATAAAGAAATATGCATTTGTCATGCAAAGGGCATAAGTTATGATGCCCTATGCATCACAACATATGATGCAACAAGTTGTTTGGCAATGTTGTGAACATTTGTTGTTATGAACTGAGAAGAAAAGGTCATGGATTCCATTATAATGATTGGTTGTTGAAGTTTAAGAAAGTAATTTACCTGATATGTTACAATAGCTATATTGATATTCCATTTCTAGATTTCACAGCAGTCTGCTCTAGACAGGACTGCAGAGGAATTGATCTAAGAGAATGCCTGGTCAGGGACAAGACTTTGGATGTTACTAGAAAAGGGTGACTCGTACTAACCAGGCAATGAAATTCTTTTGAAGGCTCTCATGTATCATTCCAACTTTGGAATATAATATATTGAACTACAATGGACTTTCCACGCACTGTTGATTGGACAACAGTGTAAGACATTTCATCATAACAAAAGAAATGTGTTCATTTCAAAACGACCACTTATAGTTGAAAATACTGTTAATAAGAGCTCAGTCTCTTCATGCAGACCTGTCAAAAAATGAGATGACTTTTATGGTTTCTTCTTTCTTTCTCTCTAATTAATTCTACTGCTTTTGTGCCAAAATAATACAGAATAATTTGCTCTGTCTAGGACTTTTTAGACATAAGGAAAAACATTGCCAAAAGCCTAAGAGAGGTGAACCTTCCCATCTGCTCAACACTGTTAAACCCACATCTGGAGTGACAATTCTAGTTTATTGCTCCTGACACAAGAAAGACATGGACATAGAACAGCTAGTCAAGTGAAGGGCAAGGAAGATAGTTTAGGAATTGGAGAATGTCATATAAGGAAAGGCTGGGAGATGGAACTAGTTAGCCTAGAGAACAGAAGGCTGAAAGGCATCTTATAGGAGTGAGTAAATATCTGATGGGAGAGTGTAAGCAAGACTCAGTCAGGCTCTTTTCAGCAGTGCCCAGTGATAGAGCAAGTGGCAATGGGCAGAACCTGAAATACAGGGGGTCTTGTCTGAACACAAGAAAACACTTTTTTACTATGCAGGTGAGTAAGCACTGGCACAGGTAGCCCAGAGAGGCTGTGGAGTCCCCATCCTTGGAGAGACTCAAGGCCATCTGGATGCAGTCCTTAGCAACCTGCTCTAGCTGACCCTGCTTGACCAGGTTGGCTGGACCAGATGTCCTCCAGTGGTGCCTTCCAATCTAAATGTTTCTGTAATTATGTGCTTTTCAGCAAAACAGTTTTTATCACAATATTGGCTTGTGCAAGTCTACACTCTAACTCCCATAACTTTTGAAACCTGTATTCTGCAAGAGTTTTCAGCTTTCCTTTTTATAAGTTATAAGAAACTGTATGTAAGAACCTATACTCTTTGTATTCACCTTGTATTTTCCACAGAGCAATAAGATTTCACATGCTTGACCCAATATAAAGCAATTAACACAAATACAGAACAGATATAAATAACTATGTCAGTAATTAATAAGCAGAAAGTTGAGCAGGATAATCTCATGTAATATTTTCTTCATAAAATTATCTTGGAGACACTTGCATCTTACGGTCTTAGGCATCTTATATTTTGGTTAGTTTGTGCTTAAAGCTGTGATTCTTGAACACTAAGGCCATTGCTCTAGTGAATGCAGTTACTTGAGCTACATCCTTTACTTGGCATATGTGGGACTCCCCAAATTATCTGAAGGATTGAGTATGGACTACCTATGTATACCTCTAACAACATGATCATTATGCCTAGTAGTACCATTCCAGCCATGTTTTAGTTATTTCTGATACTAAACATATGGTGGTACTTCACCTTCTCCTCATCATCTTATTTTTTCCAGTCTTGCTTCCTTTAGTGGAAGCTTCCTTTTCTTCCTTGAAGTGGCTGCTTGTTGTTAATGAATGGATAAATTCTTCAGCACCAGCCTGTTACATGAAGGCTATCTTCCCTGCTGGTCACAGATGGTGGGAAGTGATTTTATTGATTTGTTAGTACTTAGCTAGAAAGATTACATCTAGCAGTAATAATGTGGCCAGGCCCTGGGACAAATCACCACACGAGTTAGTAGAGGGTTTGTGTCTTAAACTGAGTGTGACATTATTATATTTACCAGCCTTTCATAGTGCTTTGCTTATTAACACCACTGTAATCTCTTCTGAGCCATCTGTCGGTCATTCAAGTTTCTGTTTCCTTCATGTGCTGGAAAAGTTGGGAGACTTCGGTTTCTGAACTGAACTTGGACATTGTTCTGCTAAAGTTCTGGTGGTAACCACAGTGCTTATTAAGTTTTTTCTTTATAATTTGTGTTATCAAAATTGTGTCCTGCAGAAAATCTCTTGGGGGGACACAGGCAGATGGCCACAGTAATTCCTCTCAAATTCAAAGGGTAATGAAGGTTCATGGCTTTCAGAATTTGTGTGAGAGGTATTAGTGTAGCTGGGAGAAATCTGGTCTCTCTCCCTATTCCAAACCTGACAAATTTGGCAGAAAGAAGCATTGAACACTGCCAGCATAGATTTTTTTTTTTCTTTTTGGTTTGTGCTCATCAGATGATCTCTCTAGAAACCAGAACTGTTTCCATACTGTGACCTCAGCAGAAGCACAACTGGGAGGTCTTAAGTATCAGCATCTGTTAGCAGTAGCTCACATTTTACCTGAAAGCTCAGTGTTCTATTTTAACTTTGCATTTCTAAGTAGCCTGAGTGATTTCATTCACTGACAGGCACATGTGTGACCAGAGGACACTTCAGAGCTAGAGGCATGAGCTTTTGGCCAGTGGATTACATGGGATGATCTCCTGTAGAGCAAAGCTGTTGCATTCATTACCAGCTCCTCAAAATGAAGTTACTCAGAGCTAGTAGACCAGGAACTGGCAGGGAAGCGATCTCTGTCTGGACATGACATTTTGTTTCACTATGCACTAACCCCTCAGTTGAGCAGTCGGCACTGTGACATGTTTCGTTGCCAGTTTTGGTGGGTCACAGTAGTTAAAAAATGGGTCTGATCCATAAGAGCACTTGTCACCCGCATGGGATGAGTGTGTAGACCATGGCATGGGCGGCACTAACGGGATTCAAGAAGCATATGAACAAAGTGCTGAAGCGTGCCACTCTAAGGAAGGGAGGATCGAGCGGTGACAGCGCTGGCTTAAGGCAAGAGGGCTGCAGCTGGGGCCAGCACGGCTCACGCCCGAGGGAGCGCCGGCAGCACTGGGAGCCCGAGGCTTCCCGGCGACCCAGCCAGGCCCGCAGCAAACCCGCACCCGCATCCCACGGGTGGCCCTGCCTCGGGTGAGCCTGCAGCCCTGGCGGGAACCCGGGCGAGCACCTGCGGTGAGGAAACCTGGAGGAGGACGTGAAGAGGGCGGCGGTGCCGGGGCCAGCGCTGTGGTCGTGTGGCCGCCGGGCCAGCCCGGGGGGCGGCGGGCAGAGAGAGGCGCGGCCGGCCCGGGTGCCCAGCGCGGGCAGGGGCAGAGGCAGCGGCGCCGCGCCTCGGACTCCGCCTCACCGGCACCGAGCTCCCCTCCCTCCCTCGCTCGCTCTCTCGCTCGCTCTCTCGCTCCCTCCTCCAGCGCCAGGCTCGCAGCGGCGGAGCATCGCGGCGGCGGCGGCAGCACCCGCCCTTCCCGGCCGGCCGGCGGCGCGCACCGCCCCCCCGCTCCCGCACGCAGCCCGCCGGCGGCGATCCGGAGCCCTCCGCGCCACCGCACCCCCGCCCCGCACACCCACCGCCGGGAGGATGGGCTGCGGGCGGCGGCGCGGCAGCCCCTGAGCTCCCCGAAGCCGCGGAAACAAAGGGAGCGAGCAGCGGCAGCACCGGGCCGGGGTGGATGCAAGCAACCATGAAAGGCTGGGTCTCCGCCTCCTCCGCTGCTGCCAGAGAGCTGCCGGCTGCCGCTGCTCGGAGGACTACCCTGTGAAGGGGGCGGAGGAGAGGCTGGCTGGGTTCGCCGTGCAAAGGTAGAAGGTGTAAGGGAGAGGCGGCAAGAAAATGTCTTCTTCGGTGGGGCCCCGCGGCCCTCGCCCGCCCACGGTGCCCCCCCCGATGCAGGAGCTGCCCGACCTGAGCCACCTGACAGAGGAGGAGAGGAACATCATCATGGCAGTGATGGACCGGCAGAAAGAGGAGGAAGAAAAAGAAGAGGCCATGCTCAAGTAAGCAGACGCTAGTCATTCATTCATTCAGGCACTCATTCATGCACCGATCGCCGGCGGGCGGAGCGGGCGCTGCCACAGCGGGAGCCGGCCGGTGCCCGGAGCCGGCCGGCTTCGCCCTGCTCGGCGGGGCCGGCGCCGCGGAGCCCCGGGTCCCGCTCCGCTCCCGGCCCGTAACTTCCTCCTCCCCCACCCCGGGCAGCTCCTCCCGAGGCAGCACCGCCGGGGAGCCCTGGCACGGCGGGACGGAGCGGGACGGCGGCCCTCCCCGCCCCGAGGGAGCCGGCGGCACAGGGCGGGCAGAAACCCCGACACGGGGGTGAGGGGCGAGGTGGGATTCCTTTGGGGTCCCCAAAACCCCGCCTCTGCCAGGAGGGGCCGCTGGGTGGGGTTTCCCTCCGTGCGGGAGCCTCCGCGGCGGCCGTGCTGCCCCCGCCTGGCTCGGCCCCCGCTGCCGCCCGCCGCGGGGCCGGGGCGGCTGCCCCTGCCCGGCACACCCCCGGCCCCCGCTCCGCCCGCCCGTGTCGCCGGCCCCGGCCCGCCCGCTGCCGGCTCCAGGGCGGGCAGCACCGCACTGTGGGGCACCAGGGCGTCCGTAATTAGGAAATAGATGGAAGTAGTCGCACTGCTCATTCCAGCGGGCGGCCGTGGGTGCGTGGTGGCGGGACGGCGGGGGAGTGGGTTTATCCCGCTGCCGGCGGCACGGGGAGGGGTGCGGGGAACGCGGGGTGTGGGCAGGTGCCATGTTTGGAAACCAGATCCTCACAGCCTCTTTTGAACCTTTTCCCTCACCCCCTCGTCCCTGCCAAGCATCGCATGTGATCACATTTTTTAGCCTCCTCCGTCAGTCGGAGGCTTCAAACGTAACGTTGCTGAATCGCCTACTGCGAGTGGTGAGAATAAACAGATTGGAGTCGTGGCCTGTGGAGGAGAATCACGGTTCCTCCTCTTCTGACAGCCCGTCAGGCCTGCTCGCTCCGGGCGGGAGGTGGTGGGAGAGGTGACTGGAGCCTCTGACGCCACGCAGACCCTCCGTGCCACAGGCGGTGTATCCTTACCTCACTGCCGCCTGCTTGCGTGCACCTGGGCTCGGAAGGGATGCGCCGAAGGGGTGACGTGATCTGGGTGTTTCTTCGGGCTGCAGGAAATACCCACCTGAGCCATGCGGGTGCCAGCGCGTCCCCGCGGCTGGGGACCCAACCCCCGCAGGCTCCCGACTTCGGCTGTGCGTGGTGAAGCTGGGACAGCGTTTTTAGTACAGTGTTGTCCCCGTCCCTTCCGTTCTTGACTCTGAATTTGTACAGGGGCTGCTAGAGATCCGTGCAGTGGCGCGTACGGAGGCCCAGCTGCCCGTGCTGTACTGGCTGGGAGCTGTCCGGGACGGTGGTGCTTGGATCTCGGTTCAAGACGAAGAGTTCAGTTTGCTGTTGCAGTTCATTGTGCTTGGGGTGTGGCTACCGTTGGAGGTGGGGTGATTGGAATGAGAAATGTTCTGTGGGAATGCATTGTGTTAGTCACTCTGGGGAAACGTGAGTGAAGGATCCCTCCTCAGTTTCTATTCATCAGAAAAAAATTAAATAAAGAAGTAGCTCAAAGGGTCTAAACTATATACATCCTTCTGTTCCTCGTCCTTCAGCACAGCTACTTCTCTACAAATATTTAGCTTTTATTCTGTGAAGAAGATCTGGTTCTGTAATGATGTTGTAGAGGAATACTATAAATCTTACAGTGGCTTTCCATTTCTCAGCCCTATTCTTAACATTGGGTAGAGAATAAATTTTCCTCCTTTTTTCACTTTCCCCCATTTTTTCTTTTTCTTTTTTTTTTTTCTTTTGCATTGATGTTTCTGAATTCTGGACTGATACTTCCGTTCCTATGAGCTTATGGGAATCTTCAGCAGTTTCACTAAATGAACTTAGGACACTTAAAATTTAATTTTTAGAAGAGGGCAAAAATGGTGCTTTGTGAATTCGACTAGAAATTACTTTATATTATTTTCAAAGGTTTGTAATATCCAAATTTCAAAGTCTATTTCCTTACAAAAGTTCTTTCAAATAATGAAAATAACAATGTATAATCTCCATTGGCCTGAGAAATTGTGATTTTAAATAGATTTGTCTGTATTTAAAGAGCCAGAAATTAAGGGAAAATACATTGGAAAACTTATAAACCTGTATACTCGCTTTAGCTATATTGTTAGTTTGTAAAAATCAAGTCACAGCATATATTTTTTTAATGGGTTATGATTCAACTCTTAGAGAGAGCCACTAGATTTTCCGAGGTGATTTGCCTTTTTGGTATGCTGAGCACTTACTTTTTTTTTTGGGATAAGAGTTTTACACACCTTTCCATGGAGTAACTATTTTTAAGACTGGAATTTTGACAAGAATTTGCTTCCATAATTTTATGATGAGTTATTACAAATATACAGCGGTGATATCAGATGACACAGCTATATTATAAAAGTCAGATATCACCACCACCCCTTCCTATTATCTTTGTTAAAAGATTTTCTGATTATCCAAATGTCTCAACAAAACTGCCACCAGTTTTCATTAAAACCACCTGGTGGAGAAATGTTTCCATCTGTAACACCCACATGCAAATCTGTAATTTTCCCTGAAAGTGAAGCTGAGAATCAGTGCTGCAAACTAGGCTACCTTCAATCCTGGGCTGATCAGAGGCCGGATATGTGCTGTCTCATGAATCATAAGGGCTAAAAAGGGTGCAGCATTTCTCTCCTGTTCTGAGTGTCCTGATAGCTATGAAAGTTTTTAAAACAGTACATGTAATTTTCCTTTCCAGCACTCCCAATAGCAGAAAACAACAGGAAGAAGTATTGGTTAAATGACTATATTCTTAACACAGTGGTGGTAAAATTGTGGATCCAGGGGAATTTGAAGTGCTTGTGTGAGTGGACTATATGGATTTCAGGAGAAGTGGAAGCAGCTAGAGTGGTCGGTAAAGAGGCTGTGTTCCTCTCCTTTGGGTGTGTACCTCTCTGTCTTCCTGATTCCTGTTTCTGACTGAGCTGAAAGCCTCCTTGGAAGCCCTCTCTGCCAGTTCACGCTGACATCAGCGCGTCCTGCAGCGTGCCAGCTGCGAGCAGGGCGCCCTACAGGGGCTGTGGGCATTGAGCTGCTTTCACTGCCTGCCCTGGAGCATTGCAAACACATCCTTCCCTCTGAGACACCTGCTTGCTCCTTTCCAGGAACTTGCCCTGTCAGTTTGTTGGTCTGCTGAGTTTCCTTCAGCTGTGTGGGGCTAGCAGAGGTTGTCACCCCCTAGGATAAAGATGTACATCTTATACTGGCCACAGTGACTTGCTTTTTCTAGGCACACCCGGTCAGCGGCAGGGACCTTGTCTTCCCCGCACACTTCTGACATCAGATTTCACACTGCTGTGGGTGGTGTTTGTGGAAGAGGAACTCTTTGCTCTCCTATGACTTGTTGAATACCATGGAGTAATGTGTTGAGGAGTTTGGGCTTTTGCGAAAGTTCCTTCTTTGGCATGTTTTACGAACAGGTGTTCCTTGGCTTGAGGAGCACTTTGCCATTAACTGATTGCCTTGAAATTGCCTTCACATTCAAAGACAAGTTCTGCATTCCTTCTGTAACAGGGACAGTGTCACCAGATATTCCTGGGACCATATCCATGCCTTCATTCAATGAACTGTGATCCCAGTCTGTTGCATGGCACTGAAGACTCAAATCCACATAAACACTTTGATGCTTGCCAGGCACCAAGTAGAAACTGAAACCTCTTCAGTGCAGTCTCACAGTCTGGGAGTTGGAATCAGGTCTTCTGTCTCATCTTGGAGCTTCAGAGCTTTGTGTTTTGTTCCTCTGTGGCTGGGAGAGCATCGCTTTCCTATTTGCCACACCTTTGAAAATTGCATGGAGAGCAGTCCATTGGGTAGACGGGGCTTTACCATGGGATGCTCAACTCTCATCCACTCTTGTTTCCCTGTTTCACACTGACTTTGCCAGATTTTGTGCATATCTCTGAAGACTAGTCTTTATTGTCTCTTTTAATAGTACTTGGTCTTAGACACCCAAGCTTTTGCTGTTCTTGTATGAATAAATGTTTGCATAGAACAGTAGTAAAATGCCTCCTCTGCAGACTAATTCACATGGGAGGCATTTTTTCCTGTTTTACTTGGTAGATACTCCTGTAGCTGGAAGGGAGGAGTTTCATGTTGAGTGGCTGATGTCTAGCCTGAAGTCCAGATACTGCCCAACAGGTCACTGATGTGACTAAAAAATTATGAAGAACCATGAAAGGGTAACTTTTCAATGAGACTGAAGAGTGAAACAAACCATCATTTGCAAAAGTGTGTGTGTGTGTGAAATTGAAAGAAAAAAATAGTTTAAAGATTCAGAGCGTACATTTAAACAGCTAGGTAGCCTGAGACAACTATTTTGCTTGTGGGTATAAAGTGCCTTGAACTGAAAAAACCACAGTTATGTACAGCAAACTGCAATCACAGAGAAACCACAGAATTATATATATGTGTGTACTTAAGATGAAGTTTGCTTATATGTAGTTTTGTGCCTTATCTCATTGGGTTAGGCAAGTACTAAGTGGAAACTATGGCAGCAGAGAACACAACTAGTTGAGTTCCAGTTCTGTTCAAATTTTGGCCAGTAATTAGGAAGTGGTTCCTAGTTACCGTGGCATTCATTTGCTGGAGCAAACCTAAGAGGGGTTAAAAGCTCTTACTAAGCTTCTGATGGGACATAAGAAGGCTGTGAGATTGTTGGCTGAGGCAGTAGTAGGAAAATTAACTACGACACACGAGTTTAGTAGTTTTGTAGTAGTTTTGTCATGTAACTCCAATTGAGTAGCTTCAGTAGAGGGGTAGCATGTACTTGAAATCTTCCCATTTTAAAAGTTATCTCAGGATTTTTCATGGCAGTTAATAATTAGGGGAAAATTGATGCTAACACCCTATTTTGACCACCTAGTATGGTATACAAGCATAATTTTAATAAAACTC